ATCACTACAACTTTTTTCTTTTAGGTAATAGAAACTCATTATGGTGACCACTGGTGCTGCATCTTCATTTTTCCTGTCACTGCATCCTTGCCGGACTCAGGTGGTAACAAGCTTGGTGGTGGGCCTCAGGTTGAGATATAGGAGGGAAATATGCCTGCACAATCCCATCTTCTTTCAGTTCTACGAAATTACACGACTCATCAAGAAAAATAAATTTTAACATAATAAATAAATAATTGGTTATACAAAATGAAAACAGTAACTATAAATTCAAGAGATAAACAAATTTTTTTTACTTATTTGTTGCAACTCTTGATCTGTAATTCTAGGCCAATATCGTAGAAGCAACTGATTTCTTCCTCATCCTTTAGCGGGAGGCTTTTTTTTCTTTTTCTTTCTAATAAATGTTTATTGCATATAACTTGCATATTAAAATATATTTTAGTGGTATAAAATATATTTTATAAATTATTTTATATGTAAATTATTTTTAAATAATATTACATTTTTTATTGGAATTTAAATTCAAAATATAAATTAATTTTACACATTTTTCTAATCATATTTTTTTAATTAGAATAATTTAAAAAATAATGACATTATATTCAAAAATAATTAAATATAATTAAATATAATTAAATATAATAAAAAGTAATACCAAAATATATTTAAAATAGGTTTAATAATTTTTTTTTTTGTCAAAACACTTGGTTTATCTAGAATATAAAAGTATATTACATTTAATTTTCAATTTTATTTGATTCACGAAAATAGTATATTTATTTTAAATTTAAAAAGTTTTGGTCCGTTCTCACGTTTTTAATAGAAAATTGATGATAGCTTTTGGTTTTTTAATAGAAAATTTGAAGAGCTGTCATATATTGTAGGGTGTAAAAAAATGTAAATATGATATAATAAAAAAAATTTTAAAATTGAAATTTGATAGGGGTTGTCATATATTTTAGGTTTGGAAAAATAGATTAATATCTAAAATAGGTTTAATAAATTTTTAGAATTAATTCATTTAAAATCAACTGAGGTTTGTTAACTCATCTGAATTCACAGGTAGATGTGAATGTATCGAGATATCAGCTCTTGATCGAGCATTTTAATGTCTATCTTTTAACAATTTTTTTGTTACTGTTTTATATAATTGAAATTATAAAAATGATTGTACGATTTATTATAAATAAGATTGTATATATTTTAATGTCTCTTTCTCTTAATTCATATATATTTTAATGCCTTTTTCTTTTAATTCGTATTTATTTTTACATACATTTTTTAACCATAACTATATAATATTTATCTCATAGATGTTAATAAAATGTTGTGTTATCCTTATTTAGGTGTTTCTTGATCACGTTGATATTTTGTACATAGTACATATATATTATGGTAACTTTTTCTCTTTCTCTTATATGCGATTTTATTTTTCAATATTTAGGGACGTATGTATCATGTGATTTACCGAAGTTGAGTTTATACTTCTCTTTTGTTTATAATAAAAAGTGATACCAAAATATATTTAAAATAGGTTTAATAATTTTTTTTGTCAAAAAATTTGGTTTATCTAAAATATAAAAAATTATATTACAATTTTAATCTCCAATTTTATTTGATTCACGAAAATAGTTTATCTATTTTAAATTTAAAAAGTTTTGGTCCGCTCTCACATTTTAATAAAAAGTTTTAAAACTGAAATTTGATGGGGAGTTGTTATACATTTTAGATTTGGAAAATTGACTAATATCTAAAATAGATTTAATAAATTTTTAGAACTAACTCATTTGGATTCAACTGGAGTTTATTAACTCATCTGGACTCATGAATAGATGTGAACGTATATATGAGATATCAGCTATTGAGATATCAACTATTGACTTATCATTTTAATGTATATCTTTAAACTATTTCTTTTGATGTTGTTATATATATATAATTTAAGTTATAAAAATTGTTATGCAATTTATCATAAACACGAATCAATGATTATAAGTAAGATATAATTGAAACTACGTGAATATTTATGAACGGTAAAATAAATTATATTATGTTTGATATTCCAAATACCTGAATTTAAACTTAATAAATGATTATAATTTACAACTATATTAATGTTATCTAATTAAAAATATGATGTCATACTTAACAATTTAGTTATGAATATGTATAATATGAATTCAAACGGGATTCGTACGACCACATAAATTTCTTATTATTATGTTTTAAATGTATAACGTATTTAGTTTTAATATATTTAAATGTATAACGTTTAATTTATACATATATTTAAAAATATATATATCTTTTTAATCTCTTAACCGATACCTCAAAGATATTCGTTAGTATTTTCCATTAAAAAATAACATATTTGAAGGAAAATTGCCCGATTGAAATGGCATGGCAAATATTATTTCTACCTTTAAGCATTTAAGTAGCAAATACCCGTGTTGTTACACGAGATTGTTATAGTTAATGTTATTATGTAAAAGGTAGTAAATATAAACTAAACAATACATTTGATTGATTAAAAAACTATATATAAAGATTAATTGAATAGTTAAGACAAACAACATAAGTAATACAAAATTTATTTTTATATAAAATTATGAGACACTTTCAACGTAATTGAATTATACCATTATAATTATTGTAGTTTGGTTATTTAATATGTGCACCAAAATGTTAAGATTAGTTTTTGTAAATTTGAATCAAATTTGATTTTTTATTCAAATATTAGTTTTTTTTGTTTTTTTTATGTATTAGAGATATGAGAATATTTAGATATAATTTTATATGTGTAGTTCATACTTTTCTCCAATAAAAATATAATAAATATATCTAAATACCTTTTAAACAGTAAAAATAAGAAGAAATTATATATGTGTAAGAAGAAATTATATATTTATCATATTTTCATTGGAAAAAAACATATATCACATTTAAGAAAATACACCGAAGTTTTTTCCTCAATGATAAATATATGTCTCATTTCTTTTTATAATTATCAAATGTAAATAATTGTTCAATTTTATTTAAATATTTATCAATGATAAATTTGTTGTCTTTTTTTTTTAATTTAAATTATTCAATAATAAATATCAGCCTCACATTTTTTAAATACACAACTCTTGTTTTTAAAAATATTAATCAACATCTTTTATTTTCTAAAATATATCAATGTCTTCTTAAATTTAGAAAATAAGCCCATATCTCATATATTACCATTATTCTTATTTTTTTAAATAATTAAATATTAAATTTATCAAATTAGTTTTGTCAAATTATTTGTATGAAAAGTATTAATGTCAGCTATTTTTTCAAATATATTGATTATGTTCGTAAGGAATCGTTCACGTAGTTGTGAAGTTGATGAGTTAGAGACAAATTTAATATTATTTATGGTATGTCGTCTTGATGGGGTTGGTACATACAAACACTTTGATTTTCAAGTAAATTTTATCAGGAGAGATATCTCTTTGATTTTCAAGTAAATTTTATCAGGAGAGATATCTCTTATAGACTCAGTTCTATGCATATTGATTTCACATTTCATTGCTATTTTTATAGGAGTTTTCTAGGGTTTTGAGGGCCTATAATCTTTCAATGTAAGAGTATCAATTTCTAAATGAAAAATTATTAGAGTATAATTTGTTTTGTCATCTAAAGGTCCTCCTTCAATCATTTGCTCAAATCAAGTGCTTTCTTATGACAAGTTTAAGCTTATTCCTGATCTCTTATAAACATTGTTTGAGTCTATAGCTAAAGTTAGCACATCTTTTACATTATCCTAATGATCTGGCATCATAATAGTGTGTTAAATTGAATGACCTATTTTTTTTTAAAGTGACTTGTTATTAGATTAAGTGTGTTCTCGAGTAATGATTTATTGGGTTCCCTACATTATTATGTCAGGAGTATAACAAAAACATATAATATATTTATAAATTTATAAATTATATCAATGTCATGTATGATTTTTATAATAAATTATAATTTATATATTAAAACTATTTTCATTTTCTTTAACTATATTAAATAAATCTTAAATTGAAATAATTAATTTTTAATAAAATATTTGTCCCATAGATGAATTGTTGTTTTCAATAGCTTCTTAGTTTACTTATTTTAGAAAAATATATTTAAAAAATATGGTAAAATAATAGTTAGTGTAATATAATTACTCTCATTTTTATATTGATAACAAATTGTAAAAAAAATCATTTTTCTTTTAATAATATTAAGAAATATGTTAAATTTAATTAAACTTTAATTATAAAAGAATTTGTTTTATGTATACTCATGAAAACATTTTTTAGTTAGTATTCTCTAAAATATAGTTTTATATTATTATTATTCTCATTTTAATTTAAAATATATTAGAAAACCATATAAAATCTAACAAAAGGACTAAAATTGCAGTACATTTATAGGGACTAAAAACGTATTTAATCCCTAAATTTATTATTTATATCTTTCATTAACAATATGAAAAAAAATATTAATTAAAGCAAATTTTTAGTTATAAATATTTATTATATGGATGATTTTAATAATTTAATACATATTTTATTTAAAATGTATTAAATTTAATATATTAATTAATATCAAGTAATCTTAAAAACATGAAAAAATAAAGATAATATTAAAAATAGTCATATAATAATCAGTGTGTCAAAAATATATGTAAGATTAGTTTTAGTTTTATGGTGATACATACATTGTTTTAACATGTCATGATAGAATTTGAGTACCTTTGTTAATTATAATATTAAAGTAGTTTACTACAACAACTTGATATAATTAAAGTAATATTTTAATATGGCATTGAGATACTAAAATTCAAAATGCTCTGTAAAAGTTTGACGTGTCATGATATAAAATAAAAAGAAAAAGAATATAAAGGTAAATTTGATGGTAATTTTATTGAATACTGTAACTATTTTTTAATGATTCTTTTAAAAAAATTGTCAAAATTATACATAATATCTTACACATCATTTCTTCCAGCATGAAACCAATTCAAGGCTCTTCATGGTGATGTTTGTTAGCAACACTGCCCTGTGCCACATGATCCAGTAATCTTCAAACTGCTATAGCACGGTTGAGTGGTGAGGCCGCATGAAATTGACTAACATGGCAGTGGTGACAACTCGAAGAGCAGCATAACTTCCCTATGTGCAAAAAAGAAAGAAAAAAAATAGTAAGGGAGAAGATGGTCTCAATATAGAGAAGATAGGTTGCAATAACAACTATTATTGTTGTTGTAATATTATGTTATACTTTTCTATAAACAATTGGTATTAAAACATTTTATGGCCAAAAACTTTTATACTCTTGAAAAACTAAGACTACATAAACATTCAAAGGCGTTTTACCTTTATAATCGTAATGTCCAAAATGATGTTGTTAATTGTATATATTGATAATGCCGAAATTGAATAAATTTTGTGGAGGCTTAATGCATGTTGATATCTGTCTATTATAGACGCGAGAATGTTAAGGTAACTGTTGATATTTGTAAATATATAGTATTAAGAATATTTGTATATAAAATAGTCTCACATCGATTATATCATGTAATTAGCTGTAATCTAAATGTCTCCGGTAACCACCGGACTGCTGCCGCCATCCGCCGCTACTAATTTCGGCGACCTTCCGACAAACTAATTCTACCGGCAAAAGCGCCTCCTTTTATCCGGCCGATCCCGACGATTTTTCCACCGCCACACTCGCCACTATGCAACTTTTGCAAATCTGATACTCATGGCTACTCCTCAGAACTTTACTCCAAACTACGATAATTTCCTCAAGTGATATCAGAATTATCAGAACTCAGATTCTACTGCTTCGGTTGCACACACCAGTAATTTATTTGTTTGCTTCTCTCAATCATCTTCTCTTGGACCTTAGGTCCTTGATTCTGGTGCGTCTGATCATGTTACTGGTAATAAAAATATTTTCTCTTCCCTCTCTACCTCTGGTTTCTTACCTACTATAACTTCTGCCAATGGTTCTCAAACCCGATCCGAAAGAATTGGTACTGTTCAAATTCTACCTTCTCTCTCTGTTAATTTTGTTCTCTATATACCTAATTGTCCATTTAATTTACTTTCAGTCAGTCGTTTAACTCGTTCTCTTGATTGTATTGTCACATTCACTAATAGTAATGTCACCCTGCAGGATCGGAGTTCGGGACGGACAATTAGCGTCGAATGTGAGTCTCAAAGCCTTTATTATCTCTCAGTGTCATCTCAGACATGCTCAACCAAAGATTCTCCACTCACAATCCATGCTGAGTCAGGTCATCCTAGTCTTCCCAAATTACAGAAGTTGGTGTCAAGTTTATCGAAAATATTTAATTTACATTGTGAGTCGTGTCAGTTAGGGAAACACACTCGTAGTCAATTTCCCAATCAAGTCAATAAACGAGCTTCGTCCCCTTTTGCTTTAGTTCACTCCAATGTTTGGGGTCCCTCACATACTATCTCTACTCTTGAGTCTAGGTATTTTGCCACATTTATTGATGATTTTTCATGTTGCGCGTGGTTATTTTTAATGAAAAATATATCAGAATTATTTTCTATTTTTGAAAAATTTTATAAAGAAATAAAAACTCTGTTTGGTGTGTCTATTCATACCTTAAGAAATGATAATGCTCGTGAATATTTATCCCAACAAATTCAAATTTTTATGTCCAGTAATGGTATTCTCCACCAAACAACTTGCCCTCATACACCTCAACAAAACAGGGTAGCCGAGCGCGAAAATCGGCATCTTGTAGAAACCACTCGGACCCCTACTTCTCCATGGTAATGTTCTACTTCGGTTTTGGGGAGACGCTGTGCTAACGGCATGTTATCTTATAAATCGCATGCCATCATCTGTCCTTAACAATAAAATTCCTCATTCAATCCTTTTTCCCCATTCTCCATTTCACTCAATTCCTCCCCGAGTCTTCGGCTCTACATGTTTTGTACACAATCTCTCTCCTGGTCTTGATAAACTATCTGCTCGATCACTAAAATGTGTTTTTCTTGGTTATCATCGATCCCAAAAAGGTTATCGTTGCTATTCACATACCCTACAACGATACCTCATGTCGGCCGATGTCACCTTCTTCGAGTCTATTCCATATTTCGAGTCTATTCCATATTTCGAGTCCAGCCAAGTAACTCCGGAACCCCTTCAGGAGAGTACTCCCACACCTCTTCCGGAAGTACCATATGTCATTATCCCCCATCATTCTAGGGAATCTGGCCCACTAGATAACCCTACGGTTGACCCCCCGACTTCTCGTCCACTTCAAAAATATCAGCGTAGTCAACCAACGCCTGTCATACATGTCCCTGAGGTCGTACCTGCCCCTGAGGTTATTGCAGACTCTCATCCGACGCTCTCGCCGTCACCGAATCCGATCCTACAACCTGAGTCTGATCTTCTGATTGCCCTTCGAAAAGGTATATGTCAAACACGAAATCCTTCTCCACATTATATTAATTTATGCTATCATCGTCTTTCCCCTTTGCAACATACTTGTTTGTCTTCTTTGTCTTCTGTTTCTATTCCTAACACTCCAGGTGAAACATTATCTCACTCTGAGTGGAGGCAAGCAATGATTGATGAGATGTGTGCTCTTCAAAGTAGTGGTACATGGGAACTGGTTCCTCTATCCCCTAGAAAATCTTTAGTAGGTTATCATTGGCTTTATACAGTAAAAGTTGGTCCAGATGGTAAGATTGATCGATTTAAAACTCGCTTGGTAGCCAAAGGATACACTCAGATTTTTGGGTTGGATTATAGTGATACCTTCTTCCCTGTAGCCAAGATGGCATCTGTTAGACTTCTTTTAGCCATTACAGCCATTCGACATTGGCCTCTTCATCAACTTGACATCAAAAATGCATTTTTTACATGGTGATCTTGAAGAGGAAGTATATATGGAGCAACCACCTGAGTTTGTTGCTCAGGAGGAGTCATTGAATATGGTTTGTAGGCTACACAGTTCTCTTTATGGTCTTAAGCAATCTCCGAGAGTTTGGTTTGGCAGATTCAGCACTGTAGTACAACAGTTTGGTATGGTCAGTAGTGAAGCTGACCATTCTGTCTTTTATCGTCATTCAGCCCAATGGTGCATTTATCTTATTGTGTATGTTGATGATATTGTCATAACTGGTAGTGATGAGCAGGGAATACTTCAGTTGAAACAACATCTCTCGAATCATTTTGAGACAAAAGATCTTGGTAAACTGCAGTATTTCTTGGATATTGAGGTAGCCCAATCTAAAGATGGTTTGGTGATTTCTCAGCGGAAATATGCTATGGATATTTTAGAAGAAATATGTTTGTTGAACGCTAAACCAACTAATACTCCTATGGATCCAAGTGTCAAACTACTATCCAATCAAGGAAAGCATCTATCAGACTCTGAAAGGTATAGGAGATTGGTTGGAAAGTTGAATTATCTCAGTCACTTGTCCAAACATTTCTTTTGCAGTCAGTGTGGTAAGCCAGTTCTTAAATTCCCCTTGTCAGAAACACATAGATGATGTTATCTGGATTCTGAGATACATCAAATGTGCTCCAGAAAAAGGTTTAGTGTATGAAGATAAAGGACATACTCAGATAGTTGGATACTCTGATGCTGATTGGGCAGGGTCACCAATAGATAGACGATTCATCTTTGGGTATTGTGTATTTGTTGGAGAAGTAAGAAACAAAATGTAGTTGCGAGATCAAGCGCAAAGGCAGAGTATAGAGCCATGACAATAACAACATGTGAACTCATTTGGTTAAAACAGTTGCTCAAAGAACTTCAAATTGAAGAAGCAAGACCAATGACACTTGTATGTGATAATCAAGCTGCATTGCACATTGCTTCAAATCCAGTATTCTATGAGAGGACCAAACATATTGAGATAGACTATCACTTTGTCAGAGAGAAGATTGAATCTGACGACATCGTTACAAGCTGTCAACTCTAATGATCAATTGGCAGATGTGTTTACAAAATCTCTGCGATGTCCCAGAACTAATTATATATGTGGCAAACTTGGTGCATTTGACTTATATGCTCCAACTTGAGGGGAGAGTGTTGATATTTGTAAATATATAGTGTTAAGAATATTTTTATATAGAATAGTCTCACATCGATTATATCATGTAATTAGCTGTAATCTCTCAATATATAATAAAGTCTCCGTAATACTTTTCAAAACACACGATTTAACCTAAATGTCTCTTAGTCTCTCCTATTCAATAGTAACAATTAACAAAAGATAGACTCAACACTTAAAAGAGAAAATGTATTATTACCTTCTTCCTACCTTCCTCCTTCCAAAAAAAATTCCAAATGTCAAGGCCTTTTAGTGAAATGATTCATGTTTTCCTGGGATAAAGAAATTTAAATAGCATGAGACATTGATAAATGGTACTTTCGAAATAATAATAAATAAAGAATTTAGGGAAAATCAATTTAAATGAGAATTATAAAAGAAAACTCACCAAGAGGAAAAGAAGGAAACAAATTAGTTGTTGACAGAAACTTCCGTATTCTTCCCTCCAAATGTAACTTGACCATCACTAGTCTTAAAATAGCAACATCTTAACTACAAAGACGACAAAATACAATTGAACTAGAGATAAACAAAATAGATTGAAAGTTACAAGTCAGAAAAATTGTTTGTTTTCAACTAGTTCATAACCATATACATCATTTTCAAGATAAGACTGTTTGGTGTTTGAATTGACTGTTTAGTCTCAAGCACTATCATACAGCTTCCCTTCCCTTTTTTCTAATTTACTCCTGTACTGTTGTAGGCTAGAAAATAAGGTGACAAAAGAAGGACTAGCCCAAAATCATAAACATAAGATCGTATCAACATTATTTTCATGCAGATGTTTAACAATTATACACATTTTAGTAGATTAAAACAGGTTACTGTCATCTGTTTAGATATAAGTTATAACTTAATCCAATCCTCAAGTACAATAGCATGCTATGACTTTACTTGAAAAAACTGTGACATGTCTTCCAAGAAGAACAAATGGTGGCTTTAGCAGAATAAATCAGAATAACAGAGTTTATATATATCTAAATACAGTAGCCAACCTTATTAGTTATTAGTATCATTGCTGGATGTGGAGCCAATCAAGCAACTCCTTCCAAAGACCTACATTTGTGGTTGTAGTGTATCTTACTCGTGTGAATGATAAGCAACTCGGTCTGCAAACTTCCGTATTCTTCCCTCCAAATGTAACTTGACCATCACTAAACATTCTTTAAGTCAAGGAAATATATACCCAAGTAAGCAATTACTCAATTCCATTAATGTAAAAGAATAAGGCCTAACTTATGAATATAGGTCCATATATTCTAAAAGACATTTTAAATGAATTGTAGATATGCTATAATAAGTTTGCAAGACAGCATTAAAATACTCACCGCAGAATATTTCAAGGAGCAACTTTGTTAAAGGCCGGCCAACTCTTTCGATCATACAAATTGTTAGGCGGAAGCACTTCAATGGTAATGATTTTAAACTATTTAGTTAAGTGTAAACTTTGAAGTCTAAGGCTATGCCACCAGTTCTTACATTTGGATCATAGAAAAGGGATGAACTGAAAGTTGAATTCAAATAAACACATCTACTGAAACTCTTGAAAAACATATTACTTCGGAAACAAAAATTCTCGAAATCCATTGTCTCCTCCGTTAGCGGATAAGTAGTTGATAATCATTTCTGTGGAGGCAGCATCTACAGAAAAACCTTTGTCTCTCATCACTGTAAGGTATTTTATTGACCTTGCAGTCTCTCTTTTTGCCACCAAACCTTGGACAAAGACATTGTAAGTGCAACTATTAGGCATGCATCCATTCTCTTCCATATTCATCAATAACTCTTCAGCTTTATCCAACATTCCTTGTTTAGAGAAACCGTTAATCATAATGGTGTAAGTATAAACGTTAATCTGCAAACCTTTAGCAGGCAAACAGGAAAAAAGTTCCCATGCAGCATTCAGTTTTCCAGCACCGCACATTCCGTCAAGTATAATGCTATACATCACAATATTAAGATCTAGATTACTCTTCTCTAATGCCCGAAACAACGATAATGCCTCAGAAAGAAGTTGGCATTTACACAGTCCATCCAATATAACAGCACAAGTTTGAAGATTAGGAACTTGCCCGTACTTGTGCATATTTAAAAACAGTTTCTTTGCAGCTAATGGTCTACCGACTTGACAAAATCCACCTATGAGAGTGGTCCATGTGACAACATCAGGAGTGAATCCAACCTTAACCATTTCATCCAAAAGGTGCATAGCTTTATTAATGTTTTTACTCTTACACCATCCATGAATGAGTGAAGTATAAGCTACAATGTCCGGTATACAGCCCCTACTTACCATTATTTCAAATACTCTTGTGGCCTCGTTCATTTGATTTCGCAAACAATATCTATCAATCAAAGAATTATAGGTAAATACATCCGGCGCTTCCCCTAACATAATCATAAACCCAATCACACTTTTCGCCTGCATAACTTTACCTTCTTTGCATAAAGCATCCACTAAAATATTAAGCGTTTGCAAATCCGGCATCGTTCCTGTTCTCATCATCTCCTCCAACAGCGAACCAGCCTCTTTCCAACGCCCAAAATTACAAAGACCTTGAATCAAGCAAGTGTAAGTCACAAGATTAGGCCGAATACCCTTGCCACTCATTTCCAAACACAAATTCAACGCCTCGGATACCAATCCATCCTTACATAAACCATCCATAATTGTGCTATAAACCACCACATTAGGGTTCCATTTTCTCTCTTCCATCTTCCTTAACCACCCAACAGCTTCAGAAGTTTCCCCCATCTTACATAACCCATTAATCAACACCCCATAAGTTTTAACATCAGACCGATACCCCATCTTTTCCATCCTGTCAACCAACTCCACGGCCCGACCCACATCGCCCCGAACACAAAAACCGTTAACAAGAGTTGTAAAAGTCACAACAGAAGGCTCAATACCAAGTTTAAACATAGTCCCCAAAACAGAAAACCCAAAAGCAACCAACTTTAAATGGCAAAGTGAATTGATAACAACATTGAGAGTAAAAGTATCAGGCTTTATACCTAGAGAACAATACATTTGTTTAACCAAAGATATAGCAGCTGTGTAATGCTTCATCCTCACAATAAACCCTAATAACAAAGTAAAGTCTAATACAGAAGGCAAGGGGCTCATTCTAGACATGATATGAAAAAAGTTCAAAGCTTTGTCAATGTTGTTCAGTTTACCTAAATTGAATTGGTTTCTCATTGAATTCAGGAACTGGGTTCTGTTGCTATGCGACTCAAAATTTGTTGCTTTGGTGCAATGACAGTGAAGTGGAAAAGGCAAAGAAGAGAGAGAGGTGGGGGTACCCATGTGGTGAAGAAGACGAAGACGAGAGAGAGGAGAGATTCTTGGAAGCATTCAGAGACAGACTCTGAAAGTGGTAGGAATGGTGTGAAGAAGAAAGTGAGAGAGAAGAGAGAACATGTTATGCTGTTTGTTATTGCCTTGGCTGAAGAATTTTCTCAAAAGTAGTTTTTTGAATTTCAACCTAAGCAAAAGCAAAAACCTAAAAAAGCTTGCCTACACTATATATCAAAATGCATTAGAAAACATATCCAAAAAATAAATTAAATTATTAAAAAATTATTAAAATATTGTAAACATTAAAATAAATTATTAGATAATCATAAAAATAATCAAAACATTTGTTCGTCTTCAACAATCATGTTCCACAATATGATGCATGTGTCTATTATATGTCTTAATGCATCCAAATGTCATGATCAAGTCGAAGTGTGTATGATAGTAAATCTAATTTTGAGAACTCCAAATGTATGTTTGATATGCATTATCGTGTCTTCCTGATGTTAAAAAATAATTATCACACATCCTATTGTGGCATTGGGATGTTTTTCACAAATCTATTCAGGGTAAATATCATATAATATATAATAATACATGTTGTATTGAGTGTAATTGATTGTGCAATAGATCTCGCGGTAGCTCGCCCTTACATAACATCGTCAAAGATGTTGGACTAGATTAACACGTTGACATAATTGTTTGAACCCGTTGCACCAATGAATGGGTGTCAAATCCATAAATTTTGTGAAACAACTACGTCAAAGCATAATAATTGATTTGCCATGATCACCACAAACACATGGTCCTTTAAACGCAATTGAACATTTTTCGCATTTCTATACATATAATGAATGTTCTTTATCATTTCCTCAAAATAGGGGTGGGCAACGAGAAGGTTTGGGCTTAAACTTTAATTCAGTCAAAACCACGTGTGGTTATTGTTAGTTGGAAATTTCGACATACTTGAAATATGAAAGAAGAAATGAAGAATGTCGAAGGAAAACTAATTTTAAAAGAAATGTGAAAACATCTCATAGAGATTTCGACTGACCAGATTGTGGATAGCTTGATTATATAAAATGGTGGCGAAAGTCCTATTGTTATGAAATACATGAGACTTAAGAAATTTCAAAGTTTCAAATTTGAATGTTTCGATAATTCATGTTGTTGGTTTGGCGCTTCGAATTGAAGAAGAATTTGAATTCAAATGGTTGATCTTATTCAAAAGGACGCGTGGAAGTCTGATGATTCGAAGAGCGTGCAAACATTGAATGTGACACTCTTGTTGAAAAGATTGTTATGGTCGAATTAGTATAAATTAGGACCTTTATGTTAGATTTTATTGTGTTCACTTTTGTACAAATCACTCAAATAAGCTCGAAGTACCAAGTGTTAGAGAAAATAGTTACTGAGAATGTACATATGAAACACCGGTTTTTCATTTAAAGTTATTTATATTTCGAATAAAGTCTTTTATGTTTCATTTAAGTTTAAGTTGGAATACATTTACATTCCAGTTTTTACTTTAAACCTTTTTTTATCTTTATCTTAAAAGGCTTTTGTTTTACCTTTACTTTCGTTGTAATTATCTTTTTGACAAAAAGTAAACATCCAGAAATATTAGAACATCAAAACTTAAACACATGTCTTAGGATCAATCTAGTCGATCTTATGAATAACCAAAATTATTTTTGTTTTGGAAGACTAACGGTTCTTTACAAAATTCTCGGGTAAACAAATTGGCACACCCAGTGGGACCAGTATCTAAGTTTGTGTCACAAATTTTGCTTTGTGTCAATTGTATTTTGTTTTAGTCTATTGGTTTGACATTGTTGTATGAGATTAAGGAGTGAAAATTTAGCCAAAACTAACAAACAAATACAAAAAAATACACTAGGAAGATGGTTAACCCACTCAATAACAATGGAGAACAACCAGCCCCTTTGACAGGGGAAAGTACGGATGTGTTATCTGCAACCGAATCGATACTCGTTCAAGCAAATACAACGGTAATATCGACAAATGCTTTTAGCGGTCCAGTTACGTCCCCAGTGCATACACAGGGTTCCCTGGTGACCACAAGACCACAAGGGACAAACAATTTCAGGCATTTTACGTCTGGATTCACAACGCCAGTGGATGGTCGTGAACAAATTTATGGCATGTCAACAACGATGATGGCTAGCCTAAATAATAGTACATCAACATTCCTTGATCCAAGAGTATCTACCTTTTCACCATTACAAGGATAAGGAAATAATAACATGAGTCAAAATGTTCCACCCCCAGGATTCGCTCCCCAATTACCTATCATAACAATGAATTCTGCAGTGACTTTTCGACAACAAATAGATGATAGCAATCATGAAATGGTTGGTATTCTAGCCCAACAAATGGATACAATCTTTAACCTATTAATCTAAAGTGCTACTCAAACTAACCAACAAAATGCCCAGACAAATCAACATTTGGCAGCACAGATGGCACGAATTATAAATTTCTTTGGTGCCCCTAGAGCCCCAGTTCAACATCCCCGTCCAGAGTGGATAAGAGAAAACCAGGGAGTGGTTTTTGAAGAAAATCAAACAGTTAACCAAGCATAACAAATTGCGCAAAATGTTGGCGAAGTCAATCAGGGGCCAAGAATCGAACAAGCCATACTAAGGGAAGTTCAAGTCCCAAGGGTAGTAATGGTCAATCGAAACCAGGACGTTGACGAAGTTCTTTAACATGTTCGACAAGACGAATACCCAAAGGAAAATAATCTGACAGTCATGGTCTAAAGAATAATGGCTCGAAATGGGGTAAATATAGGCCTTCGAAGGCCAAATTACACATCCCCTTTGTCTGAATATGTTCTACAGACTGAATTACCCAGGAGTTGAAAAGTTCCCAAGTTCATAAAATTCTCTGGTGCACCAGCGAATCTACTATCGAACATATAGCCAGGTATCTTACCGAGGTTAGGGACATAGCGAATAATAAAAACTTAAGGATAAAATACTTCCTTAGTTCGCTAACCAAAAATGCTTTCACATGGTTTACCACCCTCCCAACAAATTCTATCCATGATTGGACTCGTTTAGAGAGATTATTTCATGAACAATTTTATATGGGACAATCAAAGATCAATCTCAAAGAATCGTCTAGTATCATGAGAAAGTTCACAGAGCCAATTGATGATTACTTAAACAGATTCCATTTGTTGAAGGCATGGTGTTTTACACAAGTGCCTGAACTGGCTACAGGAGGTTTAGATTACTCCATTTGAAATAAATTAGACACCCAATGCGTAAGGGATATGGCCTAATTAATGGACCGAGTTTGACAATTTGAACGTCTGAAGGCTGAAAAGGCTAGGGCGAATAAAGACAATAGAAAAGAAGGGTGGCATATGTCGAAGCCGAAGAAGATGAACAGGAAATCTATAGTGACCCTATAGGCTTCGAAGAAAGCAAAGTGGACTTGGATGAATTAAAGCAAGGCCCACCCTATTCTTATAAATTCTTAGCCCTTTCGAATGGAAAGAATCCTGTCGAACCGGAAAAGAATGACAAATTCCCTAAGAAAACATACACTTTCGATGTAACGAAATATGATGAAAATTTTTATTTATTGGTGAAGGATGGCCAGATGGTAGTGCCACCTGGCGCCAAAATTCCTCGATTAGAACAACATAAGAAAAGAGGTTTTTGCAAATATCATAATTTTTTAGGACATAAAACCTCACAATGTTTTATTTTCAGGGATGTAGTTCAGAATGCTATTAGAGATGGAAGGCTAAGGTTCAACAAAAAGAGCAAGATGAAGGTTGACGTTGATCCTTTGCAAATAGCAGATACCAACTATACTAAACCAGCAAATATTAACATGGTGGAGGTCACTGAGGGCCCCATCAACCAAGACCCTGAAGGTAAAATCACTGATAATTTTTCTGCAGGTGTTGAATAGAAAGAAGCTATTGAAGGCTTCGTTAACAAAGATGCTAAGGGAAAAACTACTAATGGTTTTACCCTAGATGCTGAAATGAAGAAGTCCATTAAAGGCCTCAAGGTCAAATTCCAAGAGGTCAGTATCATTGATGGTCCCAACCTCAAAGTAAACATGGTGGAAATGAGCCAGCATGCTGAGATGGATGATGTTGAAAGGCGCATCCAAAAAGAAGAAGAAAAGATGAAAGTGGTCTACCCAAATACAGGAGAAAGTTTGCTAGACTTTCTTGTTCGTTGTCAGAAGAAACACTTGAAGGCTCTCATGTGTCCCAGATGTAGTGCATTATATGATAGAAAAGTTTCAGAAAACTATGAAAGGGTTCAGATTGCTCGAAAAATGGGCAATTAGAGATATGCCAATAGCAGGTTTGTGTTCAACAAATAAGGAGTCCCTCGAAGACCAGACAATCCTTATCCTCAGGTTAATTGAAGGGCTACATTCAAGACACCAGCCAACGCTCCAATTGACATATGGGTGAGACCCACTGAGAATAGGGGGCTAGGGCAAGAAAAATGAAGGAGTTTTAAATTCGAAAGAGGCTCATCTGTAGCCTACGGGAAAAAGTTTCAAGTGTCAAATTAGAAATCCTATAAGTCAGAGAACTATAAGGGAAATGATATAATGTTGAGGTCTCAATGGAGGAGACATTATAGGATAAATAAGGCATAAAGGGAAATGGTTGTGAAGGACATAGGTGAATCTAGCATAAATCAACTCCCTCCTCAAAACAAAACTGAGGAGAAATCTAGTGGGGAGGAAACTTTTTCCCCAAGAAAGGAGAAAATCAACGAAAAGAGACGGGAAAAGTCCATAGAAGACGGAGATATGTTAACTGACAACTTTGATTCAGAGGATGAATTGTCTTTGGGATTGAATTGTAATGTGGTTTCTGTATTACCACATGAATATAACCAAATGACTGAAGCTGAAGAAAATGAAGAGGATGATGATGTCGAAATGGCCAGGCATAAGACAGTTTGTTATTATGTTATGAACTATGGGGTAGTAGAGGAACAAAATGTGTTCTTCAAGCGTCCAGATCAAGGTATGAAGAACCATAT